TAAGTTCAGCTTACTAAACACTACCAAAACCTGCTTTACCAATAACACTTTCTAAGTTCAACTCACTAAACACGACCATTTTCTACTCAATCTAAAACAACGCAACCTTTTTTTTCCCCCATAAATCACATACACATACAACACTACCATACACCACCTCGACACAAAAACACTACCCAAAACCAGCTCCATTTAGAACACTACCCAAAACCACCTCGATTTTAGATCATTACCCAAAACGGGGAGTTTTTTAAATCATTACCTAAAACGGGGAGTTTTTTAAATCATTACCTAAAACGGGGGTGATTTTTCCCTTCTCTATCTACTCACACACACACACTCACATACACACACACACACACCAACACACACACACACACTTACATACACACACACTCACATACTCACACATACACACGCACACACACACACAAACACATATATTCTCACGCATACACACACATACACACACACTTACATACACACACACCAACACACATACACACACTTACATACACACACACACCAACACACACACACTTACATACACACATACACACACACCAACACACACACACCAACACACACACACACACACACACACGTACATACACACACACACCAACACACACACACACACACACACACACTTACATACACACACCAACACACACACACTTACATACACACGCACACACACACACACACACACAAACACATATATACTCACGCATACACACACATACGCACACAATTACATACACACACACCAACACACATACACACACTTACATACACACACACCAACACACACACACACTTACATACACACACACACACCAACACACACACACTCACATACTCACATACACACACACACACAGACACACAAACACATATATACACACGCATACACACATACACACACATACACACAAACACACACACATACTCACATACACACACACTCACACCGGGTCTCTGGACCGCGATACGCACACTTCACTGCTAAGTTTTTCAACAAGGGTGAAGAGCGACTGCCATGGCAGTGCGTGATCTAGAAGTGCAAGTCTGTGGAAAATAGAAGAATCTCTCTAAGCAAAATGTGTCACATTTCTTTGCGGTACGCAATTATTCTGCTTCAATGCGCCCGACAAAGGAAGGGACACGTATTCAGAAAAATGCACCCTAGGCATAAGGTGGCAATGGATGTATCCCAACGAGGAAGTAAATCCTTGAGTCTTGATTGCAGCAGCCATAGCTAGGTTTGTGCCTTTCGGTATCTGGAAAGGAGATACCAGTCGACCGGGACTTGGTTTCTAAAGCTAAGCAATTGGTATCTAGCCTGCTTGTGAAGACACTCATATTGTGATGAAAGTACTGTTTCAAGATTCTGATTGCTTTTTTGGGTCTGTTGTGAATGACAGCCTTTCGGGCTGCGAGAGGCGGGATACAAGAGTTGAAGAACGGCGGTTTCAATATACGTAGTCAGGTGTCAAATCAAATCCGCAAGGAAAGACTTCCATCTGTAGAGTTGATACGAGCGTTACGTGATACGGCTTTTCAAAACTGAAGTGATTCCAACATTTTGGTCCGTTGGCGACCTTACACTGTTTGCTCCAAGACCAACTGTTCAGAGGTATACCAGACAGTGAAAGACTGATCTCAGACTTGAGGTCTAGATTCTTATGTCTCCTTTCACCCAAGTCATGGGAGTTGGGACTTTGAGTGTGATGTTCCTCTTTTATGTCAGCCTGGTAAGTACTTACTTTTCCTTTACTTTTTCTGTCCCTTTGTACCGCAAGTTGTCGAAGAGGAAAGGGGGGGGGGGGGTGCTATTGTAGGGCGTGGGGAATGTATTGCTGTTTCGATCGTCATGTTGTTCGGCGTCTTTGAGTCCGTAGATCCATCATTTTCTAGGCTTTCCTTTTGCCTTAAAGCCAAAGAATCTCACATTGTAAGCCTTTAAGTTTAAGGCTGGCTGTTGTTGCCCTTATTTTAGAACCTGTCCAAAACCCTTTAATTGATTCGTTGTCTCTCGGTGTATCTAGCTCGATTCGACGCCCTCTTGTTGGTTCCAAGGATGGAACAATTTGGGGACTTTTAAAATGAGGACCTCCCAAGCAGAATGTGGAACGCGTATTTGTAGTGTGAGGATAGCGCAATGCTGATTTCTGGATGTCGCAGCATGTTGAATCTCAAGATCGACTGTAGTTTGTGTCTTTTAAATATCTAGTTTACTTTAGCTGCACCTTTTGACTGTTGTTGATTTTCTTGAAAACGCACTACAGCAGCAAGAAAACTTGTAAACTAAACGTCCCAAGTCTATTCTAAATGTTTATTTCATTTTTTTATACACCTACTAGTGTTGGGTTGTTTCTATTCAGCACTAACTCTGCTTTGACTAATATAAGTGCCTACCTATTCCACGGGAAACATGTAGATTTCACAAATGTCCTCTATAACTGAAGTTGTAGTTTTCCAATTTTGTAATACTCCTCAGTGTGCTGCCGAGGATGCCGCCGCAGCTTTCCCACCAACCCAGACAACCCCACCGACCCCGGCACCAGGTATATACATTATATATAATATTGTAATGTGATTATGTTAGTGGAAAAAAAAAGAAAAATTAGTCAATGGTCCCAGTAGTGATTCCTGTACTTCTTCCAACAGAGACGTGTTTACTTTTATATTGTCTTCTTTCTGAAAATCTGTAGAGAGGACAGTAAGACGGCAACGCACGTGCCCCCCCCCCCCCCCCCCCCCCCTTTTTCTCCTTTGGGGGGGGGGGGGGGGGGGGGGGGGGGGGGGGGGGGGGGGGGGGGGGGGGGGGGGGGGGGGGGGGGGGGGGTGTTAGGGGGTGTTCAAAGAAAGTGCTTTCCTTCTGGCAATTGTAACAAATCTCTTACAGTCACAAGGTCGGAGGTGTCGCTCACGGTTGGAATTTATGTCTCTATTTATAGCTTGTAGGGCTCTGTGACATTGTCAGTCCGAAAATATACTAGCTCTGTCCGCCTTGTGTCGGCAAATTGAAGGTGGTAGAAGGATGCAAACGTTTCACTGGGCCATATTGTACCCGCCATTTCGTCACCTTATGGGATTGACATCATTTGCTACAATGGCGCTGTCTAGAGACAACGATTACTACTGCTGTTGTATTAGCGGGAGAGGAGGCTCAGCAGTCACCGATCAGTGTCCAGTAGAAACAGATTATGAAACCGCTGTGGTAAATAACATCACTTAATGACCCAGTTGCGACAGTGATACTCAAAATTTCAAAATGTTTTCGAATGGATCCATCATCATTAATTGACTATTTATTGCAGACCTGAGACTTGTTGAGGCAAACAACAAATGAACCATGAAAAAAGTCATACATACGCTGAAAATCGACAATCCTGGGCATCCGTTGGTTTTTGAGTGCACTGAGCTCAAATCTAACCTTCAAAACCTCTCCCCCCCCCCCCCGAGGGCAGTGCTACTGACTGAAGTGTTTTTAAGCAATTCCCAAGAAAGGGGGAGGGGGGAATATTTACATGTTCTTTTGCATCGTAGAATTGTAAATAGACTGATGTATCAATGTCATGCTCATACTGTGCCCAAACAACGTTGGTGGAACTGCTGCTTTTTCTTTCCTCATCCTTACTACATCATAATATATCGTCATTTTCCCTCTATTTGTTTTGTATGTTGTCACTCTCTTTTGAACTGTTATTTCCGGGGTGCCTTGATAGTCGAAGCAGACTTTGTGCTGTTGAGGCTTGATGGGTGAGCAGAGTAAGCCTGATTCCCCGTTTGCACTTCTCTGTTGGCATCCACCCATTGGCGCTCATATGACCTTTTGTAGGTGCGAGCGCCATAAAACCTTACTAAAACTAAAATCAAACTGAAGTGGTACGGGCACGTCACATGTTCATCTGGACTGGCCTAGACTGTACCACAGGAAACAGCACAGATAGGGATGCAAAGAGGTGAAGAGGTAGATGGAGAAAACGATGGGAAAACAACATGTAAGAGTGGACTGGCCGTGACTAGAACAACGCACTACAGGAAGCTGAGATCTGAGAGGAGTGGAAGAAGCTGGTTGCAAAATCTACAGTCACAGTGGTGCCCCAACGGTCAGCTAGACTACAGGATAGGTGAAAGGGAAGGTGAAGGTGAAGGTCAAAGTGAAAGTGAAAATGAAAGTGAAGGTGAAAGTGAAGGTGAAGGTTGCCTCATGTCATTCCTCTTTGGGGGTCGCTATGTTCGATGCAACATCATAAACACTTGTGTTATGTGAAGCAACTGGTATTTGGGCTAGAAGTGGTGTGTATTGCCTTTTTGTACTCAGTTTACGGATAGATTAGGAAAGAGCCCATTTTCACCTTTTTGTAGGCCATGTGGTATTCCATTTATCTTCCGTGTGTGTATGTGTGTGTGTGTGCACGCACGTGTGTGTGTGTGTGGGGGGGGGGTGGGTGCATGTGTGTGTGTGTTTGTGTGTGTGTGTGTGTGAGAGAGAGAGAGAGAGAGAAAGAGAGAGAGAGAGAGAAAGAGAGAGAGAGAGAGAAAGAGAGAGAGAGAGAGAGAAAGAGAGAGAGAGAGAGAAAGAGAGAGAGAGAGAGAGAGAGAGAGAGAGAGAGAAAGAGAGAAAGAGAGAAAGAGAGAGAGAGAGAAAGAGAGAAAGAGAGAAAGAGAGAAAGAGAGAAAGAGAGAAAGAGAGAGAAAGAGAGAGAGAGAAAGAGAGAAAGAGAGAGAGAGAGAGGAAATCTTTTCTGTGTACAAGAATTCCCCCGCCCCCTTTTTTAAAGAATCTCTTCCTTCCCCTTACACAAGCCATGCCAATGCCATCATATTGTTTGTGATAACGAAGCCTACTTCAGAGGTGTGACTCTAATGCACCCCCCCCCCAACCTGTGTATCCACATAATATAATTTCTATGTTGTAAACCGAAGCTTGTGATGACCCCATTGGACTCTCATGTCAGACTCTCCAGTTACATTCCTGATCCTGAACATTGTCCCTTTTCTCTTTCTGTCTTTTTTGTTGTTTTTGTTTTGTTTTCTCTTCTCTTTGTTCTTGTCCCCATTGCATGTTGTGAGAAAGTGTACACGGGGACAGGTTTGCACAGATGTTCACACAACTTCTGACACTCATAGTTGCTGTCAATCGATGCTCTTTATTGTTTTTACTTCTCTTCACTATGATTATCTGCATAATCTTCCCTATCTTGTCTCTTTTGTCACAATTTAGCAAAACATTATTATGTAGGCCCCTACATATAATATATTTCGACATGTTGCGTCTGTCTCCTCCTTTACAGTCCTCTCTTTCTCTTCCCTTGAAGGTCTATCGTCCATATCTCGGACTCTTCTTTTCTATGTACACGTATGTTACTCTCTCGTAACACCTCTAATCTTCAGCACTTGTATGACCTATATATTTTGCAAGTGCCGTAGAATCTTACTAAAACAAAACAAGTCCTCCCTTTCTTTGAAGGTTCACATGTTCCTAGATCTGACTTGCCTCTCCCTTCTTGAACCTTAGTGGAAACAGCTAGATCTAGATCTATATTTTTCCCGTGAGTATGTGTGTTATCATGCCTTTGAATTGCCCTGTGTTGTTTTTTTGTATGTTTGCGTTTTCAGTCATATAACTGGCTTACATTTATGTACTGGTGCACACCAAGTCATACTGTTGTTCTTGAACTTTGCTGATTTTAGAAGTTGTCATCGCCATCCACTCACTTGGGTTGGTTGTGTTGAAGCAGTTTTTCAACACTTGTATCTAATCCATGTTTTTTTTGGTTGTATGTGCACTGTTTAAGGGGGTGAATTTATGTGGAACATTTACTACATGAACAGAATGTAGACAGCTTGCATATGTGACCTGTGCTGGAGGCTTTGGCTCTCAAAAGTCAGCAGTTTCCTATAGGCTTTAAACTAGTTACTGGGTGGTTAGTTGGTGCTCTTGTGTGGTTTGCTTGTTCTTTCCTATTAAACTTATGTCGTCCTTATCTCTCCTTCTTCTTTGTGTTTGTTACTCTCTTGTAACACCTCTAATCTTTGGCACTTGAATGACATTATTGTGTCTCAAGTGCTGTAAAACTCTTACTGAAACAAATGAGCTAGTGCAGTTGAAGATAAGAGGCAAATTGCCTAACGTATAATTTAGGAATAGGGTCTTGATACCTAGTTATAGCTGCACACCACCAAAATTCCTCTCTGTTGTCAGCATTTCACAAAAGAACTGTCACAAATATCAACAAGAAAACAGCACAAGGAGACTTATGACCCAGCCACGACTAGCGAGTGTGCGCAAGGTTTTGAGTGTTCGTTGAGTAACACATCAGAATATTTGTGTGAATGCCCACCTCCCCAGTACTATAATGGGAGCCTTCGTGTGGAAAGTAAGTCTGTACTGCACAATAATAACCCAGTCCCCTGTCCACCAGTCTACTAATGAGGGCAATTCCTTGAGGAGAATTGTTCTTCACTAATGTACAGATAAAAGTCAATTTTTTTATTCACCAAATTGATTAGCAAATCAGTGAAGAACTCATTTTTATGTATGTTGCTAGTTTTCATTCTAATTGCATTTACTGACCAATATTCTGTAGTTATAACTCTGTGTTGTTGAAATATTGGTACCTTGTATGTCTAAAAATGAAAAGTGCTGACTACTAAAAAAAATGTTTTCCTTATTTGCTTGGAAGAGATAATATACTAATGTAGAAGTAGACCACAAAATGCTCTGTGACATAACATGACTGGGTGAGTGAAAGCTTAAGGCAGTCCTGATGTGGACAGACAGGGAAACACTTTTTCAAGACTTTTGATTACTGTATTCTTTGCTGTTTTATGCCTTTACTACTGAGAAGAAAGTTTGAAAGTATTATTCCGATGTCTAGTTTTCTCTTTTAAATCAGAACACCAAGTGTTTCTCCCCTGATATAGATACTGAGGATATTTTAAAGTCATTCTCACCCCTGGATAGGACTATATTCTAAGTGAGTAGTTTTAAGGTGGTTCTCCCTTTATTAAGGCCACTTGGTGAACATAATGTTAACACACTGTGACATTTATTTCATTTAATAAAGCACTTAAGTTTGGAGAAAAATTGTATAATAATAATAAAAGCATTTCTATCCCGCCTTTCCCCACAACATGGGCCCAAGGCGTACATAGGAGATTATAAAGCGCATTCATACTAACCTAACACCATACAAATTCATCATGTGCGCACATTTTGACAGCAAGTTTCTTTCAGACAATAAAAAGTACTCAGACAAAAAGGCAAGGTACTGTCCATTACTTACAATATTTCTTACATAGATGTGTTTTGAGCCCCCTTTTGAAGGTATCAAGTTTTATTTCGCTTCTCAAATCATGAGGGAGAGTGTTCCAAACTGTTGGCCCAGAAAAAGAAAAAGCTCTCTCCCCATATTTCTTCAGTGACACACGAGGTGTTAAAATTAGTCTAGAGCCACTGGATCTTAGTTCCCGTGATGGTGTGTATGGTACTGTGAGTTTTTGAATGTACGTGGGAGACTGGTTAGTTTGACCTTTGAAGCATAGTACGGCTAACTTGTATTCAATTCTCGCTTTCAGTGGAAGCCAATGGAGCTCTTTAAGTAGGGGAGTCACATGATGGCGTTTTGATTGCTTTAATACTAGCCTGGCAGCATTGTTTTGAATGCGTTGGAGTTTTGAAATTTTTCTTCAAGTAGGCCAGCGAACAGTGAATTGCGATAATCAATGCTATACTAAATGAAGGCAAACAATAGTTTTTTTTATGGCATCAGTGCTAAGAAATTTCCTTATGTGAGCAATTCTTCTCATTTGTAAGTATGAAATTTTACCTATAAGGTTAAGTTGGGTCTCCATGGACAAGTTTTTGTCTAAGTATACTCCAAGATTTTTTGCTTTGTTCGAAAAAGCGACAGTACCTTTGCCAATGGTGAGACATTCTATGAGCATTTATCTTTGAACTGATTGAGCACGGCATGATTTCTGTTTTGTCATCATTTAATTTCAATTTATTTTCAGTCACCCATGCTTTTACAGATTCAAAATATTGGAAGGTGTCTTTTCACAGAGATTTAATATTGTTGGGTTTTGCAGACTTGTAAAGTTGTGTATCATCTGCGTACATATGGTAGGGCATGGAATGGTGTCTGATGGTACGACCAAGGGGTAAGGTGTACATAGTGTACAGCACAGGTCCTAGGACTGACCCGTGGGGCACACCAAATTCCAGCAATTAATGACGGGATTGCATGCCATCAACAACAACAACAAACTATGATCTGTCACTGAGATAAGATCGAAGCCATTCAAGTACCGTACCAGATATTCCGAACATGTCCGACAAACGACTCAACATGATGTTGCAGTCTAAAGTATCAAATGCTGCAGACAGGTGTAAAAGTGAGAGAATGGATATCAAAATCTCAAGTGCTGCATCTCAGAGATAATTCTGAGCAAAGCAGTCTCAGTGCTATGGTTTTCTCTGTGTGCCGATTGAAGTGGCTCAAACAAGTTATTCTTAGTGAGGTGATCTTTAAGTAGTGCAAGAACTACTTTTTCCTAAACTTTGGAAAGAAAAGGTAAGTTTGATACTGGACGGTAGTTCTTTAGGTCATTTGGGTCAATGCCAGGCTTTTTAATCAGAGGTGAGATAGATGCTGTTTTGAAGCATGGTGGAACTGTACCCTCGCTTAATGATGTGTTTACAATTGAAGTTATAACATTAATAACATCATCAATATGCCTGTGCAATAAGTTAGTGGGCATTGGGTCTAAATGACAGGATTTTAATGAAAAAAGACGGTTCGCTTCTCTTTCTTCTCAATTTAGTCCTACTCCTCCTGTTCTCCTGCACATCCCCTCCTCCCGACCTCCTCCTCCCGACCTCCTCCTCCCGACCTCCTCCTCCCGACCTCCTCCCTCCCCCAAGCTTGTTCAGAGTTCTTGTTGTGTCTCCTACTAATCCATCCTAATTCGTGTCCCCTTTGTGCTTGGTGGGAATTTAAAGTATACTGTGCTGTACGGGCGGAACTGCTCATCTTGTTTAGTAGACTTGCGTTTTTGAGGTCGTTAGATCAGGTCCAGAATGTGGTTGGCCAGTGCTATGGCGTGGTCGGCTCCTTCTTTCCTATCAAACATCTATCGTCCTTTTGTCTCCTCCCCCTCTTCTTTTTTGTGTCTGCTACTCTCTTGTAACACCTCTAATCTTACGCACTTATATGACCTTGTTGTATTGCAAGTGCCGTAAAACTTACTAAAACTAAGACCTGGTCCTGTCCCAGCTACACCAATTATCAGTGGGCCTATTTTGGCTTAATATGTGAGGCAGCGTGGTGAAATCATGCCCTCGTCAAAATAATGACATTGAAGAAAACGGCATTTTTCGCTAGTTTGGAAATTTTTAAATCAAAATTTTGTTTTTTGGCTCAACACCTTTCATGCCCATTAAAGAACACATCTAGGTGTGGATTTTACCTGAAAGACGCTGATTAAACGCGAAAAAGATGTTAATTTTCATTTTCCACTAACTCTCAAAGTAAGGAAATAACTCTATTTTGTAGGAAATATTCTCGCTAATTTTACCTCTGAAACCAGGCAACCCCCACCCCCTTCAATCGAAAATATTAAGGCAAATGGACAGGCTTTCAGATGATACCAAAAATTCCATATTGTGCTCCAAAACTGCAGAGCGCCTGATTCCACCGCGTTGTGACACAAATGATACATTACTTGTTGACTTGATTCTACTGTATGTTATGTTTTGTAGAGTTGAAAAGTACAAGTTGGGGGAAAAGACACAATTGACCTAACATGTAAATGTGTTTTACGTACACATATTTCGGTTAATTTTTAAGATGTGATGCCTTTTTTATGTAATGCGGGTTGAGCTTTTTTTAGAAAATGGAAATGCACATCATTAATGCAATTTATTATTATTATAACTATTTATTTAGTCGAATTCGAAAGTTAAGTGGTTCCGAAATGTTAAGCGCCCAAAGTGACGGACTTTCACAAATATAATAAGAGAGATACATTGCTCCGCTTTGTATGCTTTTGCACTATAACATCTTACTGTCAGGATTAGTCATCCCATATCCTTTCTTATAGTCAGGGCTGAAAGAAATAGAGAAGAGTATCAAGGTCACAATAGAGATCCCAGTATGTCTTTGGATGGACGAGTACCGAGTTGTTGAAAAATGTTCATGTGTTACATGATTTGTTTGTTGAGTAGATTTTATTTGTCACCGATATCTTATTTCTGTCATTCGCATGACGTGTTTGTGTTAAACTATGTAACTAATATTGTAATGAAGGACCTTTTTCTCTCTACTGCAGGTTGATTCTGTGTTTTGTAGTTGTCATTTTCTACTTTTACCCACGTTGAATTTGTTTTACCAAAGTCATTTTTTGTTCTTACATTCCTATGTTTTGATTTGTTCAGAAATTGTGTCCAAGGATCTAGAAATGTACTCAGTAACAGAGCTGAAAGAGTCCTTGAAGCTAATTCCTAAGCCTTAAACACTTAACTATCTTACGTTTCAGATTTATTTTTCCAGCTGGTAGAGGCTTCTGTACGAAACAAATTATTTAATGTGCTTGACTGTTGAAATATTGTTACCTCTGTTTAGCTATCTGTCACCTAATTATGCCATACATAATGTATAGTCCGAATAGTCACTTTTTAAAATCATATGAACTCCCCCCCCCCCCTCTGCTGTTTTCACCTTTTCACTACTCAATAGGGCCAACACGACTGATGCGTTTATTCGAAGAGGGTGGGAACCGTACCTTGTGTCATGCTGTATTGGAGTTGAGATGTCCTGAAGGTGATGAGTGCCCACTTACAAATGCAGTTTGTGAATGCCCCAATTTTATGTACAAAGATGGGACTGGCTGTTTTCCAAGTGAGTTTGCAAACAACAATAACCTGGTCCCTGTCTAGTCAGCTACTAACCGCCACTGTGAGTTGGAGTTTTGGGATATCTTTAATGAACCCGTTAACTACCGTTTATATATTATACAGTGGAGTTTCTTAAACTGAAATCTACAGGATCGCTGGATTTTCTTCGGTTTAACCAGATTTTCGGTTCAGTGATCTGAAGTTGCTCAATACAAGAAAAAATAATTTGAGAAATTATTTTTTATCAGTAAGGTTATAGCTGCTTTTGAGTTAAGCATGTTCAGTTTTTGTGGACTTCTTTGTATCTAGTTTGTATTGCTGGTTTTGGGTTATATAGCAGCAGTCAATGACTAATACAAATCACGTAGTAATAATTATAATATGTAATGTAGATTTGATTCAATACCTTTTCGACTTGATACATTTTGAAGAAGTTTTCTGTATTTCATGGTACTTACATACATGCAGATCTAGATGCTAACAAAATATATAACACTGCTTGGTAACTGAAGGTCTATTGAGACTTCCGCGGGCGTTCTCAAATTATGTTTTCCCTTGAATTGAGACTTTGATTTTGGTAATACGACAGCGGAAAAAGAGATGATGTTTTTTCCTGTTTCTGATTATTCTCATTCACTCACAAGTGCCTAATGTTCCAACCCTGGCTAATTGAAAAAGACAGGTGCTATTTGCAACGCCGCGTTCTGATTAGCTCCAATGCTATTTGAAACGCCGCGTTCTGAATAGCTCCCGTGCTATTTGAAACGCTAGTACTAGATCTAGAAGTCATCGTTTCTACCAGTGGCGGGGCGGCATTGGTGCAATTGGTGCAAGCGCTCCACCTAACCCTGGCCTTCACCCCCACCCCTTTTCTATTTGTTCTAAACCAGTCAGTGCTCTAGATCTACATTAGGCCTATTACATCCTTGAGATCCGTCACCCGCTGGCTGCGCCAGTGATGGATGAGACAGTCAGCAAGGATGGTTTATGCTCGTCCCACAGCTTGCGGTTGTGTCTGCTGGGAGCAAGCAAAATCTTTGCACCAAAGTTATTTTTGTCTCTGTAGAGGAATCTAGGCATCGTTCTTGCCGCGCAAGAAGAAAAGTGCATGAAACTGCTCTTCGCAGCACCAATTTGGTGCAAGCTAAAAATTTGATTCAAGTTTCCGCTAGCCTATCTACTACACTAGAGTCTACGATAACTCAATGAAATATGGGTATCGAAACTGTTGTCTCCCTTTATTGTGTAGCAAGTCCTGGTGCTGCACGAAGTAATTGCAAAAGAAGAAATCTTTAAATCTTCTCAGATTTTGAGCATAGTGAGTTGTTAGTATTGTTTCACTTTTATTGCAACTTCTATGCGGTTTCATTTAGAAACAGTTGTAAATAATATTTATATCGATACGGGATATCCTGCAGATTCTTACTGACTTTCTCTAGAAATCTTAATACAAGTAGTAGCTACTAAGCCTATAGCCCATTTGCTCTCTTTCCAATTCTGCACCACCTTGTCTGCAACCCGCGCGACGCCACTGGTTTCTACCTAATAATATTGTAGTTCTGCCTGAATTGTGGAAGCTTTCTCAGTTTTTTGATAAAACTCCAAGGATTTGACTCCTTTTTAAACGGCGCTGTCTTATTCCGATCAATATTGGGTAGATCTCTAACAATTGTTTCTGACATTGTTTGCTCAAAAGTAGTCTTGTTCATCTGTCATAATCATAATCATTTGAGTTTGAGCAAGTAGGTCAAAAGACGCTTGGATAACAATCACAAGACAGTGCCACTCGGTAAGCACTATTTCCTGTCCGCAGTGTCGTCATACAAGACCTAAAAATATTATCTCTGCGTGCACTTTATATGACATATATTGCTGACTTGCAGGTTCTGAACTTGATGTACTGATGTCTATTCTTTCTGTTGTGATCTGTTCTTTTTTCTGATCATAGTGACTTAGTTCAGCCTGCTAGGGGATTTTTTTTTAGAGTATGACTGAGTCGAAGGTTCATAATTAATATTGGATTTTGATGACACATCAACAAAGTTTAAATAATGCTCCAGTTTTAAGACAGGTACACAAAACTTCGCAGCCATAGTCACACCCTCCTTTTCAAAGAACTAATAGTTCTCTGTCTTAAGTCTGTCACCCACCTTTAGAAGAAAGTCTTTGCTGTCATTTGTGAATGTCCACTAGGTCTGACCGTTGCTGGATAGCCACGGAGAGGTGGATGAGTCTTGGTGCGTGCTTACAGTCAGGGACAAAGTCTTACATGTTGTTTTTACTTTTGATGGTATGTGGAAGGGTTCACATTTCCCACAGTCTACGTAATGAGTCTCAAGTGGTGCACAACCTAGCCAGAACAATAAACAGGAAGAAAATACCGCTGTTTGTGCGTGTTTTCAGAAACAATCAATGTTCTTGTTTTTAAAGATTCCCAATGAAAAGCTGAAGGCCTAAAGAGAAAGGGAGAAGTTTCGAAGAGCCGACTAAAAACGTCAAAGAACTGAAAAGTTTTACATCTGGGTTCTTGTAGGGCAGAGTCCGGCCCGAGGATGACGCAATTTGGTGAAAACCCAGAAGTTTTACAAGCAGCACTCTTGTGTTTTGAGATTCCTGTCGAAGGATAGTGAGAGTTAGAAGGAGGAGCCGGAGTAGAAGAAAAAAAGAAGAAAAGGAAAGACACAGGTTATTTAAAGTGTGTAACTTGAAAAAGGAAGGATGGAGGAGAAAAATAGTAAGAGACTTCCACTCAAGATTTCAGTGATAGACTGAGAGACTTGTTCAGATACAAATGAAAGAAAAAGATGTTAAGCCTACTTGAGCCCAATTTCAAGAAAGGAAAAAAAAAAAAAACAAAGAGAAAAAAAAAGGTAGATCCCCGTGAGACAGGTGAAGGACAAAAGGTGAGTTGAAGTGAATAAAACTGGTTTGGGCATTAGAGTCAGTTTTCACTTTCTGTTCACAGGTAGAGGAATATGAAGGATGTAGGGTTTGGAAGAAAAAGAAGTGAGGTAATATTAAGTAAAATATTATTGATGACAAGCTATGGCAGAAATGTGAAAACTGCTTGTATTTTCATAGTTTGGAAAAGGGAGAGGGTTTTATTAATCTTCTTTTTTTTTGGATAGGGAAGGGGGCAATAGTGGTATGTACAAAAGAATGATCACTGCTGATGCTATTTTTTCAAAAGAATGTGACTGGTTAGTCAATGTGACAAATTCACATATATCGAAAGTCGTGTTTATTGTCACTGTTTTGTTCTCGTCCAGAAAGCAGCTACGACGGAGTGTGTCGATCAGGGTCTGAGAACCAATGTGCTGGACAGCTTACTTGTCGCTACTCCAGGTGCCAGTGTTCTAGAGGGCAGGTCCACTCTGGCAACGACCAGTGTACCACAAGTAAGTAGGGGTTAGGGGGGGGGGTTCGCTTGTACAAACATCAGGTATGGGATTAATGTCTGAGGTTAAGTAGGATTGGGAGGAAGAGCGGGAAAAGAAGAAAACAAAGGAAGAGACAATGGAAGCTGGGAGAGGTGTTATTTAAATCATATGACTTGAGGGAAAAAGATGGAGGAAGGGGAAAAAGATGAGAGACTCTCACTAAAGATATCAGTAGAAGACTATGTGACTTGTTCAGTTGGAAAAAAGGACTTGAAATCTATATGAGTTCAATTTCAACAAATTCATAAAAATCATAAAGGAAAAATGAACAAGAGTCTTTTCGAGTCAAGTGGAGAATAAAAAGTGAGTAGGTGTGAACAAAGCTAGTTTTGATATTATGGTCAGTTTTCACTTTCCCTTTATAGTTTTGCATTACTTACACACGTAGAGGCAACAATATTGAGGATGTGTGTTTAATTGGAACAAGGAGTGGAGAGATCCTTAGTAAAAGAGATCTGAAGAGAGGACAAGGAAAAATGTGAAAGCTGTTTGTTTTTATAGTTCGGAAACGTGGGAGGGTCATATACTGGGAAGACCAATACTGACATATAAAAGAATTAACAAAATAAATATTATATCTTCAAAAGAATTTGATTGGTCAATCTTTGTGTCAGAATTACAGATCTGTCAAGCGTGCTTATTGTCCCTCTTTTGTTTTCCTCCAGATATCGACTATGGTGGACAGTGTCCATCTGTGTCAGATAACCCATGTGATGGACAGCTTCGTTGTTTAAACTCCAAGTGCAAGTGTTTGAGCACGGACTACCATACTGGCAATAACCAGTGTGCCCGAAGTAAGTAGGACGGAGAGAGAGGAAGTTGTCCTTTAACATGTGTGAGGAAGCTGTTGACAGTTTGTTTACATCATTATCATTGAATGTACAAACTACTGTTAGAAACTTTTTGTATGTTACTGTGATGTTTGTTCTAGTTTTATTTCCCATTTGGTTGGTGCATTATGTCTCTCCGTGGTCCGTTGGGACTTGATGAAGGCGGCAATGTTGTAATAAATGTTCGGCATTCATGACACTTTACCTTACACAGGTATGTGAAATACATTGCTGACTTGAAGGTTCTGAACTTGATGTACTGATATCTATTCTTTCTGTTGTGATCTGTTCTTTTTTCTGATCATAGTGACTTAGTTCAGCCTGCTCGGGGATGTTTTTATAGTACAACTTGATCAGAGTCTTAATTAATATTGGATTTTGCTGACACACCAACAAAGTTTAAATAATGCTCCAGTTTTAATACAGGTACACAAAACTTCGCAGCCATAGTCACACCCTCCTTTTCAAAGAACTAATAGTTCTCTGTCTTAAGTCTGTCACCCACCTTTATAAGAAAGTCTTTGCTGTCATTTGTGAATGTCCACTAGGTCTGACCGTTGCTGGATAGCCACGGAGAGGTGGATGAGTCTTGGTGCGTGCTTACAGTCAGGGACAAAGTCTTACATGTTGTTTTTACTTTTGATGGTATGTGGAAGGGTTCACATTTCCCACAGTCTACGTAATGAGTCTCAAGTGGTGCACAACCTAGCCAGAACAATAAACAGGAAGAA